CAAGCTGGCGAGTCGGTTGTGATGGTTGACAGTGGTCGAGACGCTAGCCATACCAAGCTGGCATGTTGGGTGGTACCGAGATGGAGAGGGCCAAGGGCAAGATTGAGGCGAGGGTGCACGGTGTTATGAGCGAGACGAGTACGGTAACGCGTACCCGGGTTTGACAGCTCGAGTCGCGTTGGCGGCCAACGATACGGCTTGGCGGCTTCCGATGGTCGTGCGCACTGCCCGAAGCGCCCCGTCTAGCATGTGAACAATCCATATGAAGTGCAATGAGTCTGAAATCATCAAGCAGGGAAGTGCACGATGATCTGGCTGACAACGATGGTACAAGGCGTGCATTGAGATGAAGGCAGCGTACAATGCTGTGCTTGCGATGGTGGGAGATTCAACATCTGATCGTAGCCACAAGAAGACGCCAACACGATGCTGTGAGGACAGCTTGGCGAGGAGGAGTAATCTTCCGCAGGCAGCATGCTCAACGGCTGCTTCAGCACTCGCCATACAGCCACACGCTTTTGGGGGGCGCGAATCTTTCGTACCTTCTCTAGCCATGCGAAATAGGAATGGTCATTACCACCGAGGCTGTGTGTAGGGCTGCGTTGCTCTGCGACATGCGTTCGTTCCGACAGATTTCTGCATGCCCAGAATGGGTTGTTGGGGACTAGTAGATCCAGACGGAGCGGTGGATACCGAACTGGTCTTTGCGCATGGCCAGTCTTTGCTCGCTGGCGTCTTCTGCCCCAAGCTCGCTGCACCGCTGTTGTATCCACTTCAACGTGGCCTTTTCCACCTGCCCCACCACCTCACCATCCTGAGCTGTACAGCTCGCAAGTTCATCCTTTGTTAGCTTTGACAGCACCCACTTATCCACCGGCACCGCCTTTGCCGCCCTCACCCTGGGCAGCCATTCGTTTTGCGCTTCTTTGGTGGGCGCAGGAGGTCGACCGATTCCGATCCTGAGCCTGGCGAGTTTCGTGTCGGCGACGTTGAGACGCGCAAGGATATCACGCACGCCGTTATGGCCTCTTGCCGAGCCGGTGCTTTTCGCCTTGACCAGCCCGAAGTCGACGTCGAGATCGTCTTGCAGGACCAGTGTATCGTCTACGACCGCAGCGTCGGTGGGATTGGGATGGTGCGCGGTGAGGAATGCGCGCAGACCTACGCCAGACAGGTTCATCGCTTGGCTCGGCTTGTACAGCGATACCTCGACCTGGTACACGTCCGATGAGCAGTCGGATGCATGCACGAGCAGCGGAATCGTTGCAGCCCATCCACCGCTCTTGCCCGCCCGGACTTTGGTCAGCTCGGACGGCATTGCGACACTGTCATTCGGGTCAAGATATTGCCCCTCCGTCGACGCGCAAGATAGCGGGAGCCGGGCAGGTACGGGCTGCGCCCAGTCGGGACGAGCTTGCGGATCGATACGGCCCGAGGCGAGCGCTTCGGCGCGCTCTTGTTCCAAACGCTCGCGCGCCTGGGCGAGATGCCGTCGAATCTGCGCATCGTGCGCGACGAGTCGTGCGAGCAGCGGGTCCAGCACCACCTGCCCGATCGAATGCCGCGTCAGCGGATGCGTGGTAGCATTCCCCACGCCGACCACAACCAGCTGATGCCCTGACAGCCTTACGACGCGCGGCATTCTATCCGCCGGCGCAACGAGGTCGGCGTGCAGCTTGGCTACCAGTCGCTGCTGACCCTTGCCGTACTCTGCGACGAGCCGCGGTGCGCCATGTGCCCTTAGTTTCGAATCGCGAGCGGCAAAGGACGGACGATACAGGAGCTCCGCCAGGCGCTGGTGGAATGCCAGTCCTGTGCGATTGACAAAGCTGCGCTGCGCATCACCTTGGCCATCTTGTACAGGGTCTTGGCCCGTCACTCGATCCGATGTAGCGGGAGAGACGTCACGCTCTCCAATCAGTGCGGCGGGATCCTCGTGCGCCTTGACTTCGGCCGACAGCGCCTGCCACTCCCTGCGCGGGATGTAGGGCGGATTGCTAACCACCACGTCGAACGGCCCGCCCACAATGCTCGCCAGACCGTCCATATCCGCATCGCTAAACACGTCGGCCTCGACGGTGCATACGTTGTGCTCGCTGAAGCCGAGCTTCGTCGCGTTCTCCCTGGCAAGCTGAACAGCTAGCGGCGACCGATCGCACGCCACAACGCGCCAGTCTGCGTCATCGCCGAGCTTGCTGCGTAGCGCATGAGCGATGAGTAGCGCCACGCACCCCGAGCCCGTGCAGAGATCTGCGATGCGGATAGGGGTAAGAGCGCTGGATCCTGCGGTGCTGGATGCCTCGATGGCGCGAAGAAGGTCGGCGACGACTTGGGTTGCCCAGTGCTCGGTTTCTGGCCGCGGCAGGAGGGTGGGTGGTCGAACGGTGAGCTCGACGGGCAGCGAGCCAAAGGGGACCGAGCCGAGCAGGTAGGACAGCGGCACGTTAGCACGCGTCATCTGCGTCGCCATAGCAACGAGCCTACGCCGTGAGGCTCTGTCCAGATTCTGACGAGAGCTCGATTTGCTAGCGGCGGTGTCGGTCTGCAGCTTTCGGACGTGCTGTACGAGCCAGCGCACCTCGGCATTGGCGAGCTGTGCAGCTTCGATGCGGTCCGACGTCTTGCGTGCGCTATTGCCGACCTGACTCAGCCGGTACGCCTCTTGCCGACGGCGAAGAGCTTTGATGAGCCGCTCGTCCGAAGTCCAGAATGCAGCCGGGTCGCGCGAGGAGCTGCTGGCGGCGCCGACCAAGGCGGTGGTGGAGAAGGGACGCCAGGCTGCTCGGACAGTCGCCGTACTCGTGGTGGTGCTGAGCATGCTTTCAAGCCTTGACTCGCCGAGTGCCCATGTCGTTGGAGTGCACTCGCTGCATCGGAGGTTGGAAGTGAAGTCCGGAAGAAAAGTTGGACAGGTGGAGGAAGCCCCCCCCCCCCCCCCCCCCCCCCC